TCCCCTTTTTAGATTTCCGATCAAGTTATGGCAGATTTATTAATGTAGTGAATCATTTGATTTTCATCGAGCAGGTGTAATATTCATTAATATTAATTATTCGAATTCTTAAGGTGCCGCTGTCTGGGGTCGAATGATGGTTACGTCATCAATAACCTGCAGGCTGCAATTTGCTCACGGGGCTGCCAGAAAATAATTAAAAAGAGCCGAGCTGCGGCAAAATAATGAATAAAAAGAGTGAGGCTATGATCAAATAAATACATAAATAAAAAAGTGCGTATTCTGCCCTTCCTCCAGCTTAACGTTAGCCAATCTGGGCCCATCACACAAGCACAGCTTCCTCATTTTATACCCACAGGAAGTGCCATTTTTATAAAAAATAAAAATGTTACTGAAGTAACTTTTAAAAAGTAAAAAACAGTCTTGATTACTCACCCGAGTGCACACTAGACCACAGCAAACAAGAAGATCATCTCCGCTCCGTCTCAGACAAGAGTCTGCAGGATAGAAAGGACCGATCCCTGCTTCCTCTCGCTTAAATACTCTGCAGAATTTCCTCAAAAAACTCCTCCTCCTCATCATCACTCTGGGTTTCTTAGCACAGCGTAAACTACGGATGGTAGTGACTTCATTTAAAGGGATATAGTTCACTTAAATAACATAAAATTAATTCTATTAATAAGCTTACCCTCATTCCATCCAGATACAGCTTATTTTCAGAAATGTGACGTTTGTGTCTCACAATTTTAGCTTACAAGCTCACTATTGCTTGTTTATCATTGAGTTTATATATCATTCTGAGATAAAAAAAATAAATAAAAAATACATCAAATTGTTTAAAATCTAAATTCTGAGAACAAGTTAGTATCACAGTTCAGAATTCTTTCTCACAGAAGTCTGTTTTTATCTCATAGTTCTGCCTTTCCCCCCATTCAATCTGTCTGTTTATGTCCTAGAAATGCCTTTTTACATTTCACTTTAGGCAGATTGCATTGCAAACGACTGATGCCAGCTGTAATTTACACTCGATCTCCCGCTCAGCTGCGATGTGGATGTTCTGGAATCACATCCACACCCAAATCAAATCATGACTAATAAGAGAGAAATGCACACACTATGAGAGTTCCTGAGGTAACAAGGTTTATAAACTGTGGGTAAGTTATGCTTGTAAATTTTGCCAGTAATACTGTAAAAATCGCCAGTTATACCGTCAAATTTACACGCGCACTAAATTAATGAATGTAATTATGTAAAACTACAGCACAATTGTAATTGTTGGTTTTTTTTTTCTTTGTTTTTTGTTCACTTAAACATTGTGTTTTTAAGGAGCATGGTTATCAGCAATGGTAATAACAGTATTCTTACACATTAACTGATGACAGTATGAAACAAATGAAAGAAATCCAAATAATATATATATATTAGCAAACATATACAGAAACCTGTCAGTACAAAAGCATGAAAGGGGAAAAAAAGATATACAAAATGTCAGAGAAAAAAGTAAATCACATAGCTCACCATCACACAACTCCAATCTGTTCATCAAATATGCAGATGACATGACTGTTGTCATCAACAAAAGCGATGAGAAAAACTACAGAAGCGAGGTGAACCGTCTAGCCGAGTGGTGCAGAGACAAGTCTCTTTTTGAATGTGGAGAAGACGAAGGAGATTGTTGTTGACTTCCGGAAAGCGCACACTCTGCATGCTCCCCTGACCATCAACGGTGAATCTGTAGAGCGTGTGAGCAGCACTAAGTTCCTCGGTGTACACATCACTGAGGATCTCACCTGGACTAAAAACACCACTGCACTGGAAATAAATAAATTAATTAATTAATTTCTTCCTCCACAAACTAAAAAGAGCAAGAGCACCTGCCCCAATCATATCCACCTTCTACAGAGGCACTATTGAGAGCATCCTGACCAGCTGCATCACTGTGTGGTTTGGAGCCTGCAATGCATCCTGCAGGAAAACTCTTCAGCGCATAGTGAGAACAGCTGAGAAGATCATTGGTGTCCCTCTCCCCTCCCTCCAAGACATATACTGCACCCGTCTCACCCGAAAAGCCCTCTGCTTAACAGCAGAACCCACCCACCCAATGCACAGCTTCTTCAGTCTGCTGCCATCAGGGAGGAGACTGCGGAGTCTCCAGGCCAGGACCAACAGACTGAAAGACAGCTTCATCCATCAGTCAGGAAGCTGAACTCTCTCCCAGCTCTGCCACCACTCCCCTCTCCATGCACCTTTGGACTCTGACACACACACACACACGCACGCACGCACGCACGCACGCACACACACACACACACACACACACACACACAGACACAGACACACACAGACACACACACGCGCACACACACACACACACAGACAGGTCACTTTATGTAACATTGGTCTACCAGTTAGAAACACCACACTAGCTCCCTATATGACACTTTCACTTTGTCATATTTATCATGTTTACAAGCCTTTTTGCACTATACTGTTCTTTATCTGCACAACTCTGGTTTGCCCTCATTTGCTATATGTCCTTAACGTCATTGTATTGTTTACAGATGTTTAATCCTCATGTATATTTTTAGACCACATTTTATGTAAAATTGTATATATTGTACATTTTCTTTTTCTTAAAACTCTACTTTTTATATTAACATTCTATGTTAGGCGTCTAGGGTCTGAGAGTAACGTAATTTCGATTCTCTAGATGTCACATGTGGCTGAATTGACAATAAAGCTGACTTTGACTTTGAGAAATATACAAAAGAAAAGAATGTCTAATAAAATGCAAGTAAAAAAAGATGAAACAAGAAAAATAACTCGTCACTTGTATCTTAAAAGACATCTTAATCCTTTCTCCTACATCGTTCTATTAAATCACTTCAGTTTTAATAATGGAGATCAAACTATCATGTGTCTGGTTGCAATGAAGAACTGTTGAAATCTTTGCTCTGTTAATTAAGGCGGTGGACTGCTCCAGTTGAACAATGTCTATAAAATAGGATCTTACTGTTTTTTTATGACATAACCTTTATAAAGAGAAAATAGAGGAGCACATCCAAAGTGCTTTCAGTATGCATCCAACACACTCAAACAATGCTTTCCACAACACAGTTAATCCTCCTCATCTCTCTCTCTCAAAAAAAATAAAATAAATAAAATTAGGATATACAAGTTGTAAGTTTGCAATGTAATTCGTTTATAGTGATATATAATGCTTTCTATAACTGTAAGCAGATGCAACTAGATTTGAGGTCAAACACTGTACGACTCCAATGCATTGATATTGAACAAAAACATGGTAAAGCCACACAACGCAATACTATGAACAGTTATAACAAATATTCTTTTTATTATAACAGTTCAACTCCCTCTGATTTATAAACGTTTCGATTGCTGTTGTTTAGTTTGAGATGACTGAAGTAGTTAATTCTAGGTGCCATCTGCTGGATAGATGCATTCATGCAATTTAAATTAAAAACAACTTGAGAAATTCAGGCATTTTAAAGTCATTGAAAAATATATAAAGGTAAACGTGACACCTGAATTTAAATGGAGTTCATTGAAAAAAAAAAATGCTAATATTACTTAATCTCCAATTACAAGCACATGATGCCATACTTGCCCTGTTTACTATTGCACTGTAAAATGCTGGGTTCCACACAATCGATTTGTGTTGGGACAACATGAAGGAATTAAGTTCACTTAGTTTAGTAACTTAGTTTACAAATTAAAGTGCATTAAACAAAAAAACAATTAAGCTGTTGTGTTGTTTTCAGCTCATTTAAACATGACAAATTATCCTTTGTAAACATTTATTAATCACTCCTATATCAGTAAATTTGTGCAATTCTATTTATTTCATCAGCATAGATCAGAGGTGCCCAAATTAGGGCCCGTGGGGCAAAGCTGGCCACTGAAAACCTTTAATTTGGCCTGTCATCCCATCTGAAAACAGAGGGAGAAATTTTGGGGACTACAAAAAATACATCCGAGTTAGCGAGATCACAAACCTCAGTTTACGCACATACACCCGGCGCAGCGATGGGGCATGGCCAGAGGCGCTGTAATGTTATAACAAAGGCTTTCTGGTTGTGTGGAGCTGATCTGCAAATCACAGCTTATTATGTTAGATGACCAATCAGAGCCGGGTCTTCAGAGTAACAAGGAAATATGACAGTTGTGTTTATGTTAGCTGAGTATATAATCAAAGTAAGATATATAAAAATAACATGATTTTTTACAAATGAAGCATAAGCACACATTATTTTGCACTCATAAACACAACCAAGCCTTACAATAACACTTTGGACCACCCCTATAATGTAATAAAGGTTGATATATTTACCTTAGGCCCACGGCTCTCAATGATATTTGGTTTTTGGCCGAAAAAATTTTGGGCACCCGTGGCATAGATAATCTAGTTTGGTTTTGTCCAGCATGTCTGTTAAAAATCAGCAAATGTTTCATGTTAATATTATTTTCAGCAAGGATCTATTAACAGTTAAGGGTAAAAAAAAAACTATAATATTATTATTAGATTTTTTTTATTTGTTTACTATTGCACTGTAATAAATGCTGGGTTGCACACTATCGATTTGTGTTGGGATAACATAAAGGAATTAAGTTCACTTATTAGTTTACAAATTTAAGTAGATTAAACAGAAATAATTAAGTTGTGTTGCTTTCAGCTCATTTAAAACAGGTAGTTTAAACAGCAAAAGTCATTTTAGAGTGTGATTATACAAAGGCATTTTTTTTACACATTTGTAATTTTTACTTTTTTTTTTTTAATGAATTTAAATTTTTACGAGCCTTGCTTTGCGACCATGCAAGCCAATGGCTACCGTTAACAAAAAATCTTCAAAATATCTTTTGTATTCAAAAGAAGGAAAAAAAACTTGCAATAAATTTCTAAAAAAAAAAACGTGATCAAGTAAACCCTCATTTTTGTGTGAACTATCCGCTTTAGGTCCAAAACAGATTCCACACAAACAGGTCATGATTATCTTTTATTCTAAAACAATATCATACATATAATACACAAACAAATTTATAATGATATTAGGGTAAAATAGATTGTATCTGTTACACATAAGTTTAAGAAAGCAAACCATTTCAACCAGACATGGAATTCATCGATAACGTTAAGTCTGCATTCAGAAGTCACATTCAATCACCAATAATGATAAGCTCAAGAAACTCGCCCGAGCGGAACGTTTTGGACATTAAACACGTCAATTGTAACTTCAAATCATAAATGAAAAGAATTTCATTGCGTCGCCGTGGCTAAAGGACATCCCGTTCCCTTTGACCCCTTCCTACATTAAAACCTGTGTTCTGGGTCACTCAAACATTTGCCACAAACCACAACGGATTGAGAGGGAAGCAAACCTATAAAAAGAAAGTGAACCTTTTCATGCCATTCATGCCATGTGCTGCTAATGTTGGAAACTGAGATCCAGAATGAAGTTAACTCATGCAGATAATGTTTAGAAGGACCACGAGACTCTACAGCGGATAACGCAATGTAACAGACTTTACAACATTGCATATCTAGTAGGATTGATGGAAATGAATGGCTTTGATTCGCCAGTCGACTCCACATGTTGTGAATGAAATATTACTGACCTCCAGTGAGCTTAACGACAATCTCCTTAACACAAATTTCCAGCAAAACAATCCAATAGCAAAACCAATAACTCACTGATCAAACACTCCAGTGTTTCTGGTTTTGCTTGACGCCCTCCTGAAAAACTGTAAATGCAGCAAAATTATTTTTAAAAAGCTGTTTTTGTCTGAACGAAATAAAATAAAAAGAAACAGATAAACGTGGGCAAAAGAGTGTGTTGTAGAAAAGAGCGCAGAGTTTTTGATGGTTTTTCTCCAGCTTCCCGCTGTGCCACACACACACACACACACACACACACACTTAATTCAATTCTAAGAGGAGTCTCTAGCTTTTCCATTGGTTTATACGCACCATCTAGGACCCTAAAAGGCACACACTAGCGTTTGGAGAGCTCATTTGATAACCAGTCCAGTCCTTCATAGAGTCCAGTGCCCTGTGTTGCGCAGGTTGCTTGAACATACCACTGCAAGAAGCCCAGACAGAAAACATCAGACAAAACGTACAGCTAAAAATTATTAAATAATATTTGGCGGGGGGGGGGGGGGGGGGGGGGGGATGAGTCATATATATATATATATATATATATATATATATATATATGTTTATCATGAAAATCGTACATACATTTAAATATCTATGTAACAATATCTAACTTATAGTTTGGATGCTATCCAGCATGAATATTTATAAATAGTTTTTAACACCACGTAATAATAATAATTCTTGCACATATAACAACAACAGTCAGAATGATAGGATGATTTCTGGTAAATCATGTAAGATTAACATGTAATGGCTGCTGAAAATACTTATAATCATATAAATTAATATTTTTTAATAGAAAATATTTCAAATGTAATAATAATAACACTAAAATTAATAATTCACAATTCTATTGGTTTCGTTTATTTAATAAATAAGGAAATGCAGCCTTGGTAGATGTAAGAGAAATCTTTCAAAATAAATTAACAATCCCACCATGATTTTTTAAATGTATACAAAGAGTGCGAATTAGGGGTGTGCAAAATTATCGTAGTTGTTTTGACAATGTGCAAACTGGCACCATCAAATGTGTTGCTCAATTTGTTCAAAACAATAATGCAAAAGCATTTCAGAACCATTTGTCATATGATTAGCATATTTGAACGTAGTTAGCATGACCCTACAATTAAGGTTATGATTATGAAATAAAAATATATCCCTGTATGTGGTTTTTTGTTATTCTTAAGAAATCACATATCTACAAAAACATAACAAGCAAGAGTGCCATTTTCTCAAATACTTTCTTATACAACAATACAATAAACAAGCAAACATGTTGAGCAAGACTGATTACTTATCAACTGACAGTTTCAATCATGTGCTCGGATCATTTAATAAAACAGGGAATTACTCATGACCTCATGAGGTTTAGTGTCATCACTCTGCCACAGGCCTAAACAAGCCAGAAAATCAAAACACAAAAAAATAAAACAAAACTCTCTGGATATGAAGTTTAATTATTTTTATAAAAAAATATTTGGTAGGTGATTAGGTTGATACTGTGTATAGACTTTAAGAATTTTAAATAAATCAAGAATTTTTTGTAAATACTGCATGGCACGGTAGCTCAGTGGTTAGCACTGTCGCATCACAGCAAGAAGGTTACTGGTTCGAGTCTCAGATTGACCAGTTGGCATTTCTGTGTGGAGTTTGCATGTTCTCCGTGTTTGCGTGGGTTTCCTTTGAGGTGCTCTGATTTCCCCTACAGTGCAAAGACATGCATTGGATGAACTTAATTGGCCGTAGTGTATGAATGTTTCCCGATATTAGGTTACGACTGGACGGGCATCCGCTGCATAAAACATATGCTGGAACAGTCGGCGGTTCATTCCGTTGTGTCGACCCCTGATAAATAAGGGACTAAGCCGAAGGAAAACGTATGAATAAATTAATAGAATATTGCACACCCCCAGTATATACATTAAAATAACATCCCTCAAGCCTTATGACATTTAATCAAGTATTAGTGTTAGTGTGTTGTATGCGTGTACCGTTCTGCTGCGTAGGCTCTGCAGGCCGAGTTTGTCTGTGAGTTCACTGACAGCCATGGCGTTAGGCAGATCCTGTTTGTTTGCAAAAACCAGAAGCACGGCATCCCTCAGTTCATCTTCCTGCAACTGCACATATGCACAGGAAAAGACGCAGATGAGGCAACTTAACCACATTAATCAAACAAACAAACAGCCGTATCCACTGTACGGGGTTGCTGGAAGTGGGACGTTCACAATGATAAATGTTTACCATTTTAGAAAGCTCCTCTGCAGATTCTGCTACTCTCTCTCTGTCATTGCTGTCCACTACAAAGATTAAACCCTGAGAACAGACAAACAAACCATTTAGACTTTTAGAGTTAAAAAGCAGGATATGATTAGCTTAACATAGCACATTTGTGTCTCTTAATCGAGATCCTACCTGTGTGTTCTGAAAATAGTGTCTCCACAGGGGACGAATCTTGTCCTGACCGCCGACGTCCCACACAGTGAAGCAGATGTTCTTGTATTCAACAGTCTCTACATTAAAACCTGCCCAATAAAAATATAGTATTTTAACATACAACATTCAACAGTGAAACAGTTCTGCTTTTTTATGAAACACTGGCTGAAAACTTAAGTGGTGTAAGATAGGACAGTCAAGCAATCAAAGAAACCACAAGTATGATGACAAGTTGACTGTGACATATTCTTAAGATAATACAGTCCTATAAGGCCCTTTTTATGAGTTTGCAAGTGTCAGCTAGGTCAACCAATAAACTCAGTATAAAATTACAAAGATGTTTTATTACACAAGTTACAAATGCCTTTATTTAAGCTAAACCAAAAATCACACTCTTTTTGTGCATCTCTTTTCAATGCAAATGAGCAGCTACCACCCACCCCCTTTCCAGAAAAGGGCGGAGTCTTTACAGCTCATGTCTCGTTTACTCAGGCAAACAGGAAACAAAACAATGGCCTCCATTTTAATGTTTTGTCTATTTTAACTAAATAGTACAATAAACGATATATTGTAATTTCGAAAAACACAAAATAAAAATGTGCTGATGTAAACAAAAACAATTGGTAATACTGAGCTTGTAATTTTTCCAAGAGTTAGCCTACTGAATTATTCACCCAAGGTATTATTCACTCAAAAATGTTAATTCTATTTTCATGAACTATGTTGCATAATAAAATTTCAAACCTAAAATTTTGAGACTTTACAGCTCATGTCTCGTTTACCCAGGCAAACAACAAAAAAAAACAACGATATGCATTTGAATGTTTTGTCTATTTTAACTGGGGATGTAACGATACATCTTAATATCAAAAAATGCAAAATAAAAATGTGCTGATGTAAACAAAACACTTTTTTCCTCAAGAGTTACCCTACTGAATTATTCACCCAAGGTATTATTCACCCAAAAATGTCCATTCTGTCTTTATGTACTATGTTGCATAATGAAATTTCAAGCCGAAAATTCTCATGTGAGCAGACATGCTTGGGGTTTGTTTACCTCAGAGAGAAACTTTTTTTACCACTTTTAAGAAATGACAATTATAATACTAATACTCAACTTATTCATAGTATATAACATTGAGTTAATAACATATCGCTGATTCAGTATCAAGATATGTTTCAAATCGTAACTTGAAGGTATCGTTACACCCCCAATTTCAAAACTACGATTTGAGTGCACAAAAAAAAAAGCACACCGAAAAATTGACTGCCTTTGTTTAAGCTAAACCAAAAATCACACCCTTTTTGTGCATCTCTTTAAATGCAAATGAGCTGCTACAACCCACCCCCTTTCCAAGAAAGGGTGAAGTCTTTACAGCTCGCTTGCTCAGGCAAACAGCCAAACAAAACAACGGTATGCATTTTAATGTTTTGTCAATTTTACTTAGGGATGTAACGATACATCATAATATTGAAAATCACGAAATAAAAATGTGCTGACATCAACTAAATGGTTCACAATAGTGTTGTTGTTTTCTTGCCAAAAGTTAGCTTACTGAACAGGGCTCGAAATTAACCTTTTTGCTTGGTAGCACCGGTGCTCCTAACTTTAAAAATGTAGGCGCATCAGCCAAAATTTAGTCGCACCCACCAATTATGAGCACCGTTACTACAAGTTTTGTACAAACATATTTATTGTATTTGAAAGCAACACTAAACAAACTAACAAGCAAAAAAAAAATATATATATATATATATAAATGCAAGCGTGAGGAAAATATGTCTCAACGAAATCCCGTTATCACAAGAAAATAGATTTTTATAACAGAACTGAGTGAGCAAAAGATACACGGAGCGCACACTGGCCCTGCACGCACTGCTTAAATGAATCTGTTAACGGTATAACTGTGCTGTTCTCACAAGTGCTGTCAGATATTGCACTAATGCTTTTGACACATATTCTAGCTTATTATGTGCATACATGATAATAGCAATAGCGGTTTATTTTTATGAGTAGCGATATTAGTTTACTCAATGCAAGCCCGTTCGCGATGGTGTACGTGGTGTTCAATTTGACATATAACTGTCCCTTGCATGGCGGACAGCATCTGGCAATTATATGAAGGATTAAACAGAAGCTCTCGTGCTAGATGTGGCAAACAGTTACCTGAAAACTCCATCCCACAGACTTTTTATAGCCAATGGAAGTCTTCTACTCTTGGAAAAGTGTAGATAGTGGATTAACATTTAGCACATGATCACTACTAAGATGTTTCAGTATTTATAACTTTAGATGTCATGGTTTCTAAAACAAAATCTGTCTGTGTTATCTTCATTCTCCTCTTCAGCGCTTTACAATTTTTCGCGGTAGTAGCTCTCTCTCTGTCACCCAAGCCAGAAGCGCTGACTGAGTGATTGACAGCTGATATTAACCAATCATTCGCGTTCAGTGCTAGAGCAGTGGGCCAATAAGAAGAGCGTGAAGGCGGGGCACGCATTACGGACTTGGATTTGTTTACTGCAGCAAGTTAACATGACAACAGTTTTAAACCATTCCCGAGCGCTGCGTTTCGCGTTGCAAGTGCAGAGATGCATTCTGCGTGAATGTCTCCCGAATCCGCGCATGTGGTGAACATTTTACAGTAAAAACTGGTCGCACATAACAATTTTAAGCACTCGCAGAAATGCTCCCAAATATATTTTAAGGTCGCATAGATAAAATTTCGGGCGCATATGCGACCAAAATGGTCGCAATTTCGAGCCCTGCTGAATATATAAAGGTATAATACAAACAAAAATGTCAATTTTGTCTTCATGTATCCTTTTGCCTAACGACATTTCATGACCAAAAAATTGCATGTGCGGTTTGTTTACTACAGAGAGAGAGAACTTTTTTTTATTTTAACTTTGTTTGAGAAATAATAATAATATTCAATCTTTTTTATAGAATATATCATATCGCTGTTTCAATATGGAGATACTTTTAAAATCATGACTTGAGGGGTTCATTACACCTCTATATTTTTAAATCTTAAAATATGATTTACTGAGTGCACAGACAAAGCACACACAGAAACATCAACTCTCAGATGGCACATTACGCAAGTATTAAACTAGCTTCTCATTCACATCAACTGGCAAATACACACAAGGTCAAAACACACAGGTTCAGATAGAGAAGAGATCAAATTTATCAGTACATCCCATCTATCTGTAGACGTGAAGACAACACACTATTAATGCAAATCCATCTAGGGCTGCACAATATATCTATATATCTTCGATACTGCAATGTGCACAAGTCACATCACAAGAAATGCAATGTTCAGTCTGAATTAAAGTTGACCAGGAGCTACAGAATTGCATTCAATTACTGTATTTATAGGGAATTTGTACAAAAATAATTCTTAGACTTTTGTCTCATTTCTAGTCCAAATATCTACATTTCAAAGCAAAAATTAATTAATTATTGCACTTACTCCACTGGCAGATAATTTAGCCTGTTTTAAGTTAATATCTCTATAATTCAAAACAATATCTGTACTGTTTAGATATTTGGACTGGTAAAGACAAGCATTTTTTGCATTGTCCTTATTTAATGTACCTGAATACTGTTAAGACTGATCCAGAAAACGGTCAAACACTGCTATTCAAATTATCTTGTGAAACTGTAATTCATAATATCGCAATATTTAAAATCGCAGAAAAATAAAATATCGTAAAGTCAAATTTTCCAATATCGTGCAGTCCTAAATTCAACCCCAAATATTAAAATTCAAGATATAGTGTTGTGCAAATTCCTTGACCAAACCTCAAGCCTACAAATGAAGCATTTCATAAGAGGCTTCCTAAAAGTGCTTGCTGATAAAGAAAGTATCTTGACTCAAATAGCAACATTGCAGATTAAACAGAAGTTGAAAGCATAACAGAAACCTCTTAAAGGAAGACAGAAGCAAAAGAATTTCATAAAGAATTTCCCAGTGGATGACAGATTACTCATATGACCATTGCTCAAGAAACAAGACAATGGCCTCAATCTACCCATGAGAACTGCTTTGAGGTCATAAAGTCAAATTCTATATGGTGTCACATGAACAACAGTCCTGTCCTCTTACCTATTGTTGGAATTGTGGTCACGATTTCGCCAAGTTTCAGTTTGTACAATATTGTGGTTTTCCCTGCAGCATCCAGACCCACTGTAAAACAACAATGTATATGATGGGAACGAGGTTTCTTCCAACTTTATAAAACAGAAAATGACAGTCACAAATCTTTAATTTCATTAATGGAACTAAATGTTACAATTCTAATAAATATACTGGAATATAATGAGGAATATGTAGAAACGCCATTTTAACATATTGCTTTATGCTTTAATAAGCTCCAGTTTAACATTGACTGAGACTAAAACACTGAAAAGCATAACTTTGATTAGAAGCCTATACTGTAGAGCAGGGGGTGTCAAACTCAGTTCCTGGAGGGCCGCAGACTTCAACAAACTTACCTGTAGGTCTCAAACAAGCCTGAAGGACTCAATTGGTTGGATCAGATGTGTTTCATTAGGGTTAAAACTAAACTGTGCAGAAATGCTAGTTTGACACCTGTGCTGTACAGATACATAGGCATGGGACGATAGCCGTTTTTTCAAGGTATACTGCGGTTTGGAAAAGAGAGATTTTTTTTTTTTTATAACCGAAAAAATGTTCAGTAATACTGTTCCCAAGGTATATATAAGGCCAACTTACAAGGTATTTTAGGCCAACAGTATCTTCAGCTGAAAAATTATCCAAAGATGCTGTTTTAAATTGTAAAGAAATCTGTGTTTTTGAAACTAATGAAGACGGCAGAAGTCAGAAGTGAACGTTAACTGTTCCAAAATATTATAAATCTTTAAAAATAATAATAATAATAATAATTTTTTAAAGGAGAAAATTTTTTGTTTGTTTTTTTTAACCAGACATTTAAAAAGAACATAGTTTAAAGCAGTAATCACAATACTGTGATATTTTTATACAAGGTTATCATACTGTCAGAATCTTGTAGCCCATGCCTGCATATACAGTATTTACAATATTTCTGAAAAATATATTAACTCGCATATAGAGAGATACACAGTGATGACTTTCGCTCAAATCAAAAGCTCTAAAACTCGAATTTTATTAATATTTCTGGATTAATACATTTAAAAATTTGTCAAAAATAAAAAACATTTAGGGAAGCTAAAAAGCTAATTATTCTATAAACGTGATACCTTGAGAACTGAATATTTTATTGATAAATTATATCTTGTAAATATAATACATTAAAATATGTACAATGTCAAAATGAAGGTGGTTTTTACGACGAATACAAGTAAAACATGTCATATGATACATTTGATGATCAAATAAATGACATAATAAACGATATACTATACACAACACTAAAGTAAACTGCATTATATATACACTACACTTCGATATAATTCTACAAAACAGTCAAAACAGTTTATTGTTTATAAACTGACAGAAATATTGATCATAATCACTTTATTTCAAGCATTTGGCATCATATTTCAAACACTTCAATAGAACAATACATGACAATTTCAGTTTGCTGTACTTTAAATATTGTTTAATTTAAACCAGAGGAGACAGCTGTAGTTTTCTGTTTAATTTGCCAATTTCTGCGATATGACTCAATTGCGAAAGTTGGCTATCGCCGCTAGCTAGGCTAGCATTAGACTCAACACTCACCCATGAGAATTCTCATCTGTTTCTTTCCAAACAGCCTGCTAAAGAGCGACGAGATGGTCAGACCCATGGCGAAGCACACAAATCACCTAAAACTACGAGGTTTCTCCTAATGTCTAAAGTTTTGTCTGTGTGATGCTCGTCTGGTGTCAGGAAACCCAATCACATCTGCGCTTGCGTAATGCCACGTCACGGCCGCCGTGGAAGAAATGACGCCACGCCACTTCCGATGTGGAGATTTTCACAACTCTTTAAAAATAATAATATTAATTATAATATATATATATATATATATATATATATATATATATATATATATATATATATATATATATATATATATATATATATATATAGTAAATATTTACAAACATAATACAAGAGAAAACATCTCACAACAATTATAAACAAAATAAATAAAATAAGATGAGAGAAATTATCTCAGTTATACGAAGTATAAACTGATGCCAGGGTTAAAAAATAAATAAATAGGTAAGATAATAATAATAAACTTTTATTCAATCAACTGAAATTTATATAATGCTTCCTATGCTTTTTTTAGCTTTTCTGTTTTTAATGTTACATAGTGTAGCACCATATTGTTTAATCTCCTTTATAAAATGAACACAATTTGACTAAGCTTTGGCCCATTTCTTGACATGAATAAGGTATTTTGCAATTTATATTATTAGTTGTATAAGAAAATAGGTTGTACTTTTTGAATAAATTCCATCTTGTATGCAAATACGACATCAAATAACCCAATTTGTATAAGTGTACCAAATGTCCTTGAAATAAAGTTAGAAACATCAATCCAAAAAATCCTGAGTATACACACTGGAAAAACAGATGAGTAGCAGATTCTTTAACAATACTACAAAAATCACAAGAGTTCTCTCTATCAACTTCAAACCAGGGGCGAACTGGCCATCTGGCAATTCTGGCAAATAACAAAAGGGCCAGACTTTTTTTTTTTTTTTTTTTTAAGTGGCCGGTATGCTATTTTTATTTATTTTATTTTCATAGGCTTATGTATTGTTTTTACATCCAGGCAGCTTTAATTACTTTTTTTTTTTTTTAAGAAATCAGATCTTTAAAAAAAAGCAATCCATACGTTTGGGTTTTTACCAGATCTTTATTTTCTCACAGGGGTGGACCTTGTGGCACAGTTCGAGCAAGAGTACGGCATTTGCCGCAGTAGGGAAGTGTACAAGATCAGAAAGTCCTGCTCAGGAAATGAGGACAGTATCGTTTTTACTGGAGTGTCCGATACAAAATTCTCACCCAATGCACCTCGATCGCTGATATTAAAAGGCGCCAGCACAAATACATACACGCATCTGTTTGACATGAAAAGAAACATGGAGAAAGCTGGAAAAAAAAGGAAACTAATCATCCTCGTCCAATCCACCATGTCCAAAAATCAAGCAAGCTAATGTGATCTGTTCAAAAATGCTTTCAACTCAAACATTTACTTCCATATTGTTCAGTGGAGGTATTTCATATCAAAGAACATTGGGCTAATCAATGGATGACTCCATATTGCTATCAATACTTCATGTACCATTCTGTTGTCACTTCTCAAAGCTGTCCCTGCAACAAAAGTTAGCATGTAGCTCCTGGAATAAAATGAACAGCCATGAAAGGGAATGTTCATAGGGCGGCGAGTCCTGTGATTGACTAGTCAAATTAGGCAGCACTGCAACCGAGATCTCAAAGTGAGCGTTAATGCACAACAGCTTCTTCCTGGCATTTACTCAATCCTATCATTTGTTTTTAAGCTACAAATACTCCAGACTTGCATGAGAGGGACGCCCCGAGCTGGAATTCCTCCCCTTTGTGCCATAATGCTCTCACAGTTATCAAGTAAACGTGCAATTTAAGCATTATCTTACAGTCAAGAAAACAATCAGATTTGTAAGGAGAAACAAAATTAAAAGAACATTAGTAGGAATACAGCATAGAAAAAAGACAGATAAGATAGATTAGACATGATGCTGAACACTTGATAGCTCCTCCACACACACACACACACACACACATTCACACAAGTTCTTCAAGACAGAGTCGATCAATGGACACACTCCGTCTTTCTAAAGTTCACACACATCTGGGACCCTAACAGGCACACACTAGCGTTTGGAGAGCTCATTTGATAACCAGTCCAGTCCTTCATAGAGTCCAGTGCCCTGTGTTGCGCAGGTCGCTTGAACGTACCACTGTGGAAAAAAAGTAGACAACGGAACATTTAAATGCAGTCATTGTTTATGGTTGCATGCATGCTGGGAGTCAGGCAGGTTAGAGGTGTGTGTGTGTGTGTACACGTGTTTTTGTGACATATCAGGACACAAATCTGTATGACATGGGTATGACACAGGTATTACAAAAAGGAGGTGAAATATGAGGACATTGGTGAGCCCAAAGCTTATAAATCCCACAGGATGAGTTTAATCAGAGAGTAAAGCTGTACACTAGAGATCTGCGCGGGACTAAATTTTGAATTCTGATACCGCCAAGTATTAGCCCGACCGCTCCCGCTTATATTCAGCATTTGTTGTCCCGCTCCCCGCCCCATTTTTTTACCCGCCACGCCCGATCCCGCTAAAGAGCGGGGGTGGGAGGGGGGTTCCTCTCACCTCTCATTCGCGCGCGCACAAATACACGCACACAGCAACAAACAACCTAAACACAGCAAATATTGCTAGACGGCCTGCTCCCGTGCAAAATTAAAGCAGTTACCGACCGCTCCCGCGCTTAATTCGGAAATCTATTCCCCCGCCTCAGAAATCTGGTCGGATCTGTCCCGTGGGACAGCCGCGGGAATGCAGACCTCTACTGTACACTGTCTCCTGTGGTGGTTGGGGTTAGGGTGGGGGCAATACAATATACAGTTTGGACATTATAAAATAAATGGGAAACCTATGTAATGTACTCACTTTTTACAAAAACAAACATGTGTGTGTATGTGTGCGTGTGTGTGTGTGTTTGTACCGTTCTGCTGCGTAGGCTCTGCAGGCCGAGTTTGTCTGTGAGTTCACTGACAGCCATGGCGTTAGGCAGATCCTGTTTGTTTGCAAAAACCAGGAGCACGGCGTCCCTCAGTTCATCTTCCTGCAACTGTATAAAGAAAGGGAAAGAGAGTGTGATGAAGGCTTAATCTAGTTGAACATTTAATGACTTCAACAAACACACACAAAAACAATAAATAAATAAATGCTAAAAATGGTTTAATAATCTATATCAGGGATGTCCAAACTCGATCCTAGAGGGCCGGTGTCCTGCAGAGTTTAGCTCCAACATGCCTACTAAGAAGTTTCTAGTATATCTAGAAAGTACTTGATTAGCTGGTTCAGGTGTGTTAGATTAGGGTAACAGCTAAATTCTCCAGGGGCCTCATGTATCAATGTTGCGTACACACAAAAACGTTGAGTACGCCAGGTTTCACGCTCACGTAATGTAATGTATTTATTTATGTAATGCCATGTCAGCAACCAAGGCTATCTTCATGGCAGGAATCTTTCAACAATAAATATACAATTTAAAAATCAACAAACAAAATAAAACATAAATTAAATAAGATTTTTTGTGTTAATACATGATAAAAATTATTAAATCTTTTCTGGTTTCACTTTGTCAAAAATGTCCTTAAAAGAGTTAATTTCATAAAAAGTCCTTCTGGAATCAGTAAAAGCAGGACAGTCCAGTAATATGTTTTACAGTAAGAGAAGTTTTCCAGCACAAACACTGAGTAGGGTTTTCACCTTGGAGCAAAAAACCCTGTGTTATTCTCGTATGCCCAATTCAACATCTGGTAAAAACTACTTGATCAAATCGATACTTAAAATGTCTTAAAATTCTGTGCGAATCTTCAGGTTGGATTTCATGTAATTTATTGTTTTCTAATGCATCCCATTCCTTTTGCCACTTGTTTAAAATGTAAGCGTTGATAAAAGGTTTCATCTCTGACGGAGGAATTTTCACGCTCACGTTTGGATTTACTAACGATGAAATGAATGTGAGAATGTGCGTTGGTCCGCGCCAACTTCATGTCTGGCGTCCGTGTATTTCTTGTGTGTGTTTGTTTTATTTCCATTGGCGACTCCTGGAGGCAGTTATGTTAAATTGCACACTACAAAGTTTATTTTATTTTATTGAGCGTAATTATTTAACTGCATATCAGGAGACCGCGGTTAGCTATTAAAGACGTGGCTGTTAACCCTAACAAATCTAACCAAGAGCGCAGATACAATGATGTCCATTCTTGCACTCGGTCAGCGGGCGATTGGGCAGCTGAAATGCTGGTGGCACTGCCTTGATAAGAGCGGAGGGGTGCTGCTATACCGCCCTAACAAAGTGTTCCTCTAATACATCTGTGTCTCCCACAGACACGGACACTACTCCAGACAGTAAAGTGTCGCCCACAATTGAGGCAACTCTCTCCTCAAAGGGTGTTAATTCAGCATCCCGTTCGCCTGCCTGTTCGGTCCACACTTTGACGGTGCACCGGTGTTCTCTTAACCTGCACCTTTACATCGAACCATTTCTTTTTTAATTCACTCACAGTGCGATGTTCAGACCACACTGCTTTGACCGCGTCAGCTAAACTCCCCCACTCTATTTTTTTCTTCTGTTATTAATTCCGAAGACAAACTTGCAACGAACACAGTTTTTCTTCGGTAAAAGCCAAAGTGGAGTCATTACCATATTCATACAGGCAGGCACGTGCACACATAGGGCTCAATCCATTTTAGTCTTGGATAGAAAATGCCCTTCCAAAATGATCTAAAGTGCAACAGCGAGAACTAATGATCCCACCTCACGCTCTTAAGTACACACGTCAAGATATATAGATATATAGATATATAGATATCTATCTATCTATCTATCTATCTATCTATCTATCTATCTATCTATCTATCTATCGTATTTAAACAAAGATGGAGTAACTCTTACCATTTTAGAAAGCTCCTCTGCAGATTCTGCTACTCTCTCTCTGTCATTGCTGTCCACCACAAAGATCAAACCCTGAGAACAGACAAACAAACCATTTAGACTTAAAGTTAAAAAGCAGTCAATAAAGCAGCTGGGTTTCAATAAACTTAGGATGAGATAAGCTTAGGATAAACGTACTCAGAAATGACTAAGAAGC